CATTTCATTCAGTCTTCCTCTTCTTTGCTCACTGTTCCCTTTATGAAGCATGATACCCTTTTTCCAGGGACTGGTCCTTTCTGATAACACGTTCATCCTCAATTCTGGGGTACCTGCTGGTTTACTATTTCCGGATGAATCTGCTCACAATCCTGGCAGCACATAGTGTGTTCTTCATAAATGCCACAACTCAAAGTCTTCTCTTCTCTTCTCTTCTCTTCTCTTCTCTTCTCTTCTCTTCTCTTCTCTTCTCTTCTCTTCTCTTCTCTTCTCTTCTCTTCTCTTCTCTTCTGTATAAGTTGTTGTTGATTGCTGTTGAGTCGAGCACGACTCAGCAAACCTATTAAAAAAAGGCCTTTCTATAACTACCGCCATTTATCAAAGTTCATAGAGCTTCCAGAGGCATGTTGTTTAGAAAGTGGATGCCAAGCAGGAATTAGAAATATCATGGCATTTCAGTCCTCTAAGCAATATCTTTGCTTTTTAACACTACAAGGTGGCCTTCTGCAGTAGATTTGCCCAATTCAATATGTCATTTCTTGACTCCATAGATGTTGATTTTGAAAACAAAGAAGATGAAATATTTTATAATTTCAGTCTTTTCTTCATTTAACATGATGTTGCTTATTGGGTCGCTTGTGAGAATTTTTTCTTTGTATTAAAGTGTAATCCATATTGAAAGCATGCTAGGCTTTCATCTTCACCAGTAAATGCTTTAAGCCCTCTTTGCTTTCAGAGGCAGGCTGTTAATGAATCTTCCTCCAATCCCAATGCCAAATTCTCTTGATATAGTCTAGCTTCTCAGATTATTTGCTCAGAAAATTGATTGAATAAGGATGTAGCCCTGATACAAACCTTTCCTGACTTTAAACCACGCTATGTTCTTATTCTGTTTCAATGACGACTTCTGGGTTTATATACAGGTTCTGCAATCCAGAGCACAAATAATTGTATTGGCATTTTTTACGGTTCATGAGTGCCTCCAGCATTCTGTTTTTCAGCTAAGATTCGTCTGAGATCAACAATATTCCTTGTTCCATTACCTCTTCTGAATCCAGCTTGTATTTGGCAATTCTCTCTTGTTTACACTGCTTCAACCATTTTTAAATACTCTTTAGCAAAATTTACTGGCATGTAAATATTAATGATGTTGTTGTTGTGTGCCAACTAGTTGGAACCAACTCATAGCTGACCAGCTGGTTTTCAGAGGCAGTAAGCCGTTTTGTCCCCCTTTCCCCCTCTTCAGAGCAGATGGTAGATTTGAACTGTGTGCTTTTGGGTTTACAGCACAATATTTACTCACTGGGCCACCAGAGTTTTAATAGTAACCATATTGTTTTATAATTTCCTTTTCTGGTGGCTCACCTTTTTTAATAATGGACACCAATATAAACATCTAGCAATTGTTTGGCCCAGTAGTTTTCTTCTAGATTTCTTGACATAGCCAAGTGAACACTTTCAACATTGCATCATTGTAACATTTCAATTGTTATTCTGTCAAGTCCAAGAGCCTGGTTTCCCCCCTAATGCCATCAAAGCTAAGTGCATTTCTTCCTCCAATACCATCAGTTTGAGATGGAGAGACAGACACTGTGATGAGGCATTATTGTGGTGGAGCTAGTTAGGATGGCACAGGACAGCGCAAGTTTCGATCTGTTGTTCATAGGTTTGCTATGAGTCAGGGTTCACTCTACAGCACCTAACAACACGGCTAAAATAGTATATATTTAACATTTATGTGTAAAAGAGAGTTAAGTTTCTAATGTAATTGGAAACATTTTAACTGACTGGAAGTGGTGTGGGCTGCTAGACCAAAGGTAGTTCTAATGCACGAAGAGCTCTTCAGGAGAAAGATGAGCAATCTCCTCCCATATGATTTACAGCCTTGGAAACTAACTGGAGGGTCAACTATGAGCCAGGTCTAACTGGAAGGCAATAGGAATGAGCTCAGAAGGGAGTTATGGTGACTTAGTTCACAGGGAGCGATCAAGCCTCTACAGCAGCAGCCGCAGCTTTAATCCACCCAGAGCTCCTCAGGAAGAAGATGAGCAATCTTCTCTCACCCAAGTTACACCCTCAGATACCCAATGAGGGGGTCATCTATGAGCTGGTTCTAACTGTAAAGCAACACAAGTGTGATAGTTACTCACAGTTTCACTAAGCACATTTTAACTGATCTAAATGTCCAATTTTGACAATTGAAATTCATGTGGAACACAATCTTCACTACGCTGGACAATTCTGGCAGAGTGTGACTGCCAGAGGCTGGCTGTGGTACTGCCCTCCCCTTCCCTAAATGTTAGGGGTCCCTTTGCCCAACAAGATGATTAAGAGAAACTTGACATTTCCAAGATATCCCCTAGGGGGCAGTACCTCTGTGAGCTTTGGAGCTATACAGAGTTTAGAATTAGGAAATTTGCCTTGATTTCTTCTTCTGCAAATGCAAACTATAGAAGTGCGAGTTGTGAAATTGTTAAACACGTGGCTGCTAACCAAAAAGTCAATGGTTCCAAGCCCCCATTCACTCTTTAGAGAGAAGATCCAGAGATTTGGTCCTAAAAACAAATTCAGGGAAACTTGATAGTTCAGCTGCTCATCATATAGGAGACAGTACACAATAACAGCATCAACAGTATCTGAGTGAGAAAAGCAAAGCCTGAAAAACTTTCAGCAAGGTGCTTAGCATACAGTGTGTCCTACAAGAATGCAAACTGATATTGTCTTCAGCCCAGGAGACTCATTCCGGGGAATGCTATGTGTGTCTTTGGCAGGTAGATATGTGTGGATCAGGCTCGCACCACACCTCTGTCCCAACACATGAAAGGAGCAGTGAATTGCTGAACACGTGCAGTTAAGCAGCATGCAGGGTGAGTTCCAATTAGAGAAACTGCTCTAGAGGACACACTATTGGCTTACCGAACAGGGCAATCAGAATACAAAGAAAATGTTTTATCTTGTAATACCTAGATCCACAAGAAGTGTGATCTTTAGAAGAGCAGCAACCATCTCGATAGAAACCCAAACTGTCAGCCACAGACCCTGACCTACTGACAAAGCATCTGCATTTTTAATGAGAATCCCAGGTGTTTCATCACATTCAAATAGGAGAAATACAGGATTAGCTGAGGCAAGGAAAGAACAATGATACTCCCTCCCTTAATGAGAGTCTGCAGCAGGGGTGAGTGTGTGTGTGTGTGTGTGTGTGTGTGTGTGTGTGTGTGTGTGTGCAAACAATCTGCATCACTGTGTAGGCAGGTACAGGTTATTCAAAGGCAAGTTCTCAACTAGACTCAATGTCTACTGAATTTGCATCCCAGGAGGGCTAGTGAGAAAGCGAATTAAAGTGAGAGTGAGCTTAGCTTTCTGATTATCGGAATCTGACTTTGTCAGACCTTGTGTTATCAGAATCTCTAGCAGGAGGAGGAGGAGAGCTTGGGTCCTTTTGTTCTTCTTCCTTTAGGACTCTACTGATTGAGAACTACTGACAGGAATCTAGTGGTTTAAGATGGAGAAAACAGCAGAAACAGCAGAAAGGCCCACAGATCTCTGAAGGTGGGTCTACACAGGGAGTCATCAAGACTAATATGTGATTTTCACTATTTTGTATCCAAACAATCCCAGGGTGTTTTGTGGTGGGTTTACCCCCCCACGACCCCCCAACCCCGGTGATACAGGAGACTTTGAAATTACTAAATTCAACTCTTTTCGTTTTAAGCGCAGAGATTAGTGGTCAAACAGTGGTAAAGCGAATCTAATTCCAGTTCAACAAGAATAATAAAAACCCTCCCTAGATTTCAGAGGTTTTGCCACCGCACTACGAAGGCGATCAAATCTTGTTATAAAAAGGAAAATAAAAAGGGGCTCCCCTCCAGTTATACAGGCTGTCAAGCGAGGACTTGATAGGATGCTCAAATAAAATTTAGAGAAAGAGAAAATGTAAATGCTAGAGAGTGGGTTTTGCTACCAAGAAATCCAAGCCGGGTATGTTAAACCTCCCGTTCAGCTCTGTGCCTGCAAGGGTGAGAAAGGTCAGGGTGGGTGCTTCTAGGGCCAGATCGTAAGCTCCGGAGCCCAGCCCCAGCAGGCCCGCATGGACGATGGCATCAAACCAGAGAAGCCCGCGCGAACGCCGATCACAGGGCAACCACGGGCAGGTGGAAAGTGTTAATCTTAAAGGATCGGCGAGATTTAGATACTCAGGAAAAGGCGAGATGTGTGGGGCCACCGGTTGGCACAAAGGCCTAGAGATAGTCACGGGAGGAATATTGGAGTCCTTGGCATCTTCTAGAGCCTCCAGTTTCCCAAAGACCACAGTCCCTGGATCGAGTAGGCGCTCTGAGGGAAACCGGACGAGAAGCTTAAGCTTCCCGATAAGGATGTGGGAGCATTAGGCTCCGGGGCAGGTGAACCCTTCTTCCTGGGACAGGAGGTGAAGATGGCGACGCGGGCGGAGACCCTGCACAGGCTCTGAAACCTAGGTGGCTTCCGAAAAGAAGGATGCCAAGTTAGGGTTGTTGACCCCTCTACTGACCAAGCGCGTGCTCTTGGACCGCAAAGGACAAGGCTCCCCTCAGGGCTGCATCCCACGTCCCATAGGGGTGGATCCGCGTCCCGCCTCCTCCAGGCCTCGCCCCTGCCTCCGGCTGGCTGCTGACCGAGCTCCCCTCAGTCTTCTTGGGCAGTGACTTCTACCTCGGCCGGATCCTCGCTTCCCTGGAAGCCCGGCGCCCGGCTCCCGCGCCCCGCGCGCGACCTCTGGGCGGGTCCCTCCCGGCCGCACCTGCCCCCGGGGGCGGAGCGCGGCGGCGTCTACGCGGCTCGAGCCTCCGGCGCCGGCCGCTCCAGCCGCGTCGCGCCTGACACCCCCTCCCCGGCACACCTCCACCCCGCGCGCGCTCGCGCGCCCTCCTCCTTCTCCACACGGTCCGCCGGTCCGTCCTTCTGCCGGTGCCGACAGCCTCGCACCTCTGCCTCAGGTCCGTGCTGCCGCCGGGACCGTCATGGAGCCGGCCGCGGGTAGCGAGCGCCGCAGTCCCCCGAACCCTCCTGTCCCGCAGCCGACCCGGGGCCACGCGCCCTTGGCTGCCACCCCTGCCACGGGCCTGCCCAGCTCTCCGGCGCGGGAGTCCGAAGACGAGCGGCAGCTGCGGATCAGTGAGAGCGGCCAGTTCAGTGACGGGCTGGAGGACCGAGGTGAGCGCACGCCTGCCACCCGACCCTCACCCCGCACCCCGCACCCCTCGCCCCGTTGTCCGCGGGATCCCGCGCAGCCGGCGCCGCTCCCCGGAGCCCGCCGAGCTCCGCCTGCAGGTGGGGCCGCACCGGATGCGGGACTCAGAGCCTCTGCGCGCGGAGGCGTGGAGCTGGGACTTCCCTGCGAAGGCACCAGGGAGACAGGGTGGACGTCCCACTTCCCTCAGCCAGCAGTGAAGCTCTTTCCCCTAGTGTCCGAGCCGGGCTGCTCCGGTGGCCGGGGTTCTCCTCCGAGAGCCCAGCTCCTGGGGTGACCATGGCAAAAGTTTACGGAGGTGCTCTTTGCTCTCGGGGCTGAGCGCTCCCGGGGTACTGCGTCCTCACGCACCCCAGAAGGTCCACGTTTGGTGCATCCTCCTGGCCGAGCCTCCTCGGGCTGCGGGAGAACTTCGCGCCGCGTGGGGAGCCTCGCGGGGCCCCTCGGCTGTGCACCCAGGCGAAGGGCACGAGCACGTGCCCCTCTGCACCTGCGCGTCCGCAGGAGGCCCGGCCTTACTTACCCGGGACATAGTGCGCCGGACTCGCCTTTGGTGATGGAGACAGACACTTTGCTTCGGGGTCATCCGTATCGGCTGGAAAGATGCCACTGAAACACTGGTGGTTTCTGGTGTCTGTGTCCCTCAGATAGTCCCTCCCAGGGTGCTATCGGGAACTCTCGCAGCAGACGCCAAACCTCCCTCCCTTGCCAAGAGCCAGAGCTGTGCTCGCTTGTCTGTATGAAGTGGGAAGAGACCCCTGTGAAAGCCCCTAGTCCTGCTTCTCCTTCCCTCCTCCGCTTCCTTTCCGTTTGGTTTCCAAGAGGAGACAGCCCGGTTCTTGGCCGCGTTTACACCCTGTTCACTTCTCAGTGAATCGAAAACTAAACCCCTCCTCTGGAAAAGAATCAAAGGTGCTGCTAAAAACACTTAGCGACCTGAGCTGCCCCTGCACCCTGGCCCTAGAGGCGGAGCGCTGCCAGCCTTCGCTTTCTTGGAAGCCTTTTTTTTTTTTTTGTTAGCGGTGGCAGATATTTAAGTCTTCGCAGGTTTCTCCCCTATTTTTACCATCTCTTGTACACTTAGTATTTCGACTTTAATATTCGGATGTTAGAAATCTTTTTCTCCCCTCATAAATTCTAATGTGCAGCATGTGAGATTGAAATGACATGGAAACGGCACATCCCAGAAATTTGTCAGAGACGCTGCCTCAGAATTGGAGCTGTTCCAGTTGCAACGAGTTCCGCACCTATGTTGCGGCTTCTCCTCTTACTTCCACGTTAACATAATTCGAGTTTAATTTGGAGATGACGGTCATGGCAGCACCCAGCCAAACCTAGCGGTTTCGTTACGGGGCCTTTTAGTTACCCTGTTCGCCCTGCAACTAAGAGGGTAGGATCTTAACATTTTTGAAATTAGAAGAAAGAAAATTTGTGTTGAAGAAAGACAACACCCGGGGCTGAGCGTCTTTCTGTAGCTTTGTGATTGCTTTCTGGCTCTCACCCCTTAAAATGACAGGGCAGAATAAAGTGTTAGGGTCAGTTGATAGCATCATTTAATAGCTTGTGTTCAAGCATTAAAAAGCCTTACTGATTTCATTCTTAAGGTTGGTTTTTACTGGTCAACGGAATTTCATTTTCCATTGTGCTATTGCATGAAGGCATCCACTGTCTATTCATAAACTGTCATTGTGTGACGGCGATGCACATCACACACGGCCAGTGTTAGGGTGGTCCCTGTCCCCTACAGAACCCAGTATACTGTAGCGTGGAAAGCTGAAGGGCTGTGTGACATTCTTTTGTTTGACCTATTCCCCACTGCAAAGGGTTAATGATGAATGAGTCATTTTTGTGAAATAAATCCGAAGGTTACCTGAGGAGGTTTGTTTTAATATGTTGTGTTTGTGGAGTTGGTTTTTTAGTTTTGTGCTTTCATTCATGGGACTGCATCTTTATTATATTGATTTTTGTATCCCCCAGGAATGGTTCCAGGGAGATTTGGGGGAGTAGGAAGTGCCAGCTGTTTTCTGCTTTTTGTCCCTCTGTCATACCTGGCTTGCTTTCTTGGGGGCCTAAAATACCTCCTGGTTAGATGTAGGTTGAATAACCTAGATCAGGACCTATATTTGCCATTTTCTTTTGTTCTGACTTCCTCCTGGCGTTCAGGGCTTGGCTATATACTACAGCTCATTGCCACCAAAGGACTGCTTTTTTATTGAATATTTGGAGGCTTTGAAGGTGATCTTCCCCTTGGGGTGGCTGGTTCTCAAAAACCCAGCTAGTTGATAATGTCAGAAACTGCAGTGTTGCTTGACTGAGGCTGTAGTTCAGGATGTTAGAGTTTATAGTCTGAGTTGGCTAGTCGTAACGTCAGGGACTAAAACCACCAAAAATAGTCCAGGTTTGTCTTCCCCCATATTTACTACTTAACTTTGTTCCCTACAAATGTTTCATCGTACATTCATTCAGCAGCGCCAGGTCTTAGGGCCTGGCCTATTATGAGAGATTTATATTCTTCACAGGGTTTCCACCACCGCTCCCATCTACTCAGTATTCCCTTTCTTTTATAGTATCCAGGAACTCTGGTGCAGGCTAGTTCCTAGGGAATTGTGCTAACTTATAGACCATATCTCTCTGCAGTTCAAATTGACTGGTGGCTTCTTGAGATAAAGACGGGTAGTCCCCTTCTGTACAATTTATAGCCTCTGAAGACCCACTGGAGGTGAGCTATGAGTTGATTCCTACTTGGTGGCTTTGAGTGGGGTTTGTTTGGGTTTTTTTTTTGTTGTTGTTTGGTTATGATCTTTTTCTTTTAGTTACAGTATCTAAGCGTGAACAGTTCTTAGGAGAAACCAGTTGGAATCAAGCCATACTAATGTGAAAATTATTGATGGCTTTAACCTCCCACAGACTTCTGCGTTTTCAAAAAGTAGGGATCATTCCTTCATTATTCATTGCCATCTAGTCAGTTCTGAATCATAGCAACCCAGAACAGAGTGTAAGTGCCCGCAGGGTTCCTTAGTTGTGATCCTTATAGATGCAAACTGGCCCATCATTATCCAGGAGGAGCTGGTGGGTTCACACTGCAGACCTTTTGATTAGCCAAGAGCATGTCCATTGCACCATGAGAACTCCTACATTACTTCGTAGATAGAACTAGTGTGCTTACTATTGCCATTGATACCACCAGTATCCCATACTTCTGGGAACCTGTGACATTTGATCAAATAATAGAAATTTGCATGTGGAGATCAGCTGGTGGGTAGGGAGGACCCAAACCACCCCTTGCAAATTGGAATTATTCCTTGGACCCCTCTGCCTTTGAAGGAAGCCATTTCCTGAAAGCTTTAGAGTTGTCACCACATTTCCATGGCTTGTGGGCATTCACATACCATTGTGTGGAGGGAGATAGAGGCACCCTCGTGGGGATCCCGCAGTGTAAGGCCAGCTTTGTAGGTGCAGGCAGACCAGCTTTCCCCCCCCCCCCCACTTCTCTTTGAGGAGTGGAATGTTCTCCATTCCTGGTATCTCCCATATTTTTACAGAGGAAAACCTAGGGGTAGCATAGAAATGGACAACTCCTCCTTATTGGTTGATCTTCCTCAGGGACTTTCTCTAATTTTTAAAAATGGTTTCAAACCTCACAGAGGAGGAAAGCACAGGTTCAGGGCTGAAGGAGACCCTCCAAGCCCATGCTGTGAGGACTTAAAGGGCACCTTTGCCGGGCAGCCCAGCCCTTGGTGCAGCTGTTAGAACTGGGCTGCAAGATGAGGTGCAGACGCAGGAAAATGATGGAGGATGAAAGAGAAAGCCAAGATTTCCTTCATTTCCCTTAGAAGATGGAATCTATTTCTAAAGGAAACCATGTTCTCCCCTTTGAGTTAGTAATTAAATCTTACCGCTTCGCATATGCCTGAAAAATCAATGACTGGGATGAGCAGATTTTTTCCCCAGTATTTTGGAAAAGGGAAATAAACTAACGTAAGTATGTAGATCTGGTCATGATAGTTTGTTGCTGTTGCCAGAGACAAGAATGACCACAGTTGAGAATTGTAATGGGGTTCTTTTTGGCGGTGGAGAGAAGTGGACAAAGAAGCATATTGAATTTTAATTTGAAATCACTTTCACATAATGGAAAAGGAGATAGGAGGTTTTCCTTTTACCATACAAGTGCATGTACGGATATCCTCGTGTGTGATGGGGAGCTCAGGTGGCCTAGTGGTAAGAAGCTTCACTGCAATCCCTACAGTGGCCCGCAGTTCTAATCCTCCAGCTTCTCCTTGGGGAAGAGGATGGTGGTCTCCTCCTGTGCACTTTTTACTGCCTCTGAAAACCCATTGGAGGTTCAGCTGTGGGTTGGTTCTGACTCGGTGAAGTTGGTAGAAGAAAGTGTGGGGAGAGTTTACAGCTAGGTGAGGGGGCTGATGTTTACACTTTTACAATTTCATTTGCCTCCTTTGGTCTTATCTAGCCTATTTATTCTCTACTTTCATCCAGGATCCATCTGACATCAGCAATGATTGCTCTTCTGTGTATTTGAGTCAGAACAATTTCCCAGCTGATCCTTCTGTGGGTTTTCAGAGACAGTAAAACACATGGGAGGAGATTTGGCTCATCTTTCTCCCATGGAACAGCTAGTGGGTTTGAACTACTTACTTTTGGGTTAGCAGTGCAACTCCTTACCACTAAGCCACTAGACTTCCCTGCCTGTAGATTTCAATTAATTAAAAATGTCCAGGTTATGAGCAGAGTTCACTAAGCAGACCAGTAGTATTCCCAGAACATTTTTCTGGAATTGCTCAGTAGTTCTTAAGTCTGAGTGGAAAATGGAACTGAGAAGTTTTAACAGGATCCTTGATGTGATTTTTAAACAGGGTTCGGTTTTTGGCAGCCAGAGACTCATTGTGTTATCTGTTCATTCAAATGGATGACATCTTTTACATGATATGTAGGCTTGCTATGTCACATGAAAAATAGAGTGGGATGTGTTCTGGCAACTAAGACGGAAGTAAACAAAAGAACATGCTGTATTTTACACACTGGGTCCCTTAAACTTCCCAAACTAGGTCCTTAATCATTTGAAGTTAAGATGAAGATGCTCGACTCTGAAAAGTACCTTAGCCTGAGATGGTGTAAGAATGCTTATATGTGAGATGTGAATGAGAATTTGGTTCCCTGTGCAAATTAGAGGTGCTCTGTGTGGCCTGTTTTCAAAGGAAAGGAAAAATAGCAATCAGTCATAGTGAAGATGCTTACTCGTCAACCCAGGATGTTCAAAGATTGGTCATTGTTTGCCTTGGAGTCATTATGGATTTCTGTTTTCAAGGGGTCTCAGTGTTGTAGGGATAAGAAAAAAATAAATCACATTTCTTTTTTACACTTGGCCTACCTGGGAAACTGTTGCAGTTTGAGCCAGTTTCTCCCACTTTAATATTCTAGGATGTTTTTTGCAGGTGGCTGATGTAAAGGAGCTGGTGATATGTCCCTGAGGAGTTGTACTGCTAATCCAAAAGGTTTAACCTGCCTCTCTGGTGGTTCGAATCCATCAGTGGCTACAAGTGAGAAAGATGAGCATTCTCCTTTCGAATGATTTGAAGGGTCAAAAACCCTTGCTGGAGGGTCAGCTGTAAGTTGGAACCAACTTGGTCACAATGCATTGATTGATACAAAGTAATAATTATAGCGTTGTTGTTGTGTGCTGTCGAGTCACCTGCAACTCATAGCGACCCTATGTACAACAGCCCTAAACCCTGCTCTGGCCTGTCAACCTCACTGTCTCTGACACACCCACCCCCATTACTCCAGTCATTGAATCAATCCACCTCATAGAGGGTCTTCCTCTCCTGCACTGTCCCTCCACCCTCCCAAGCATCCAAGCATGATATCCCTCTCCAAGGACTGGTCTCTTCTTGCAACATGACCAAAGTAGGTCAGATGAAGCTTCAGAATCTTTGCCTCCAAAGACCAGCCGGGTTTAACCCTCTCCCGGATGAACCTATTTGTTTTCTTAACAGTCCATGGTATATTAAGTACTCTTCTCCAGCACCACATCTCAAAGGTATCAATTCTCCTTCTATCTTCCCTAGTCAATGTCCAGCTCTCTGATGCATAGCAAGTGATTACAAAGACCATGGCCTGTTTCAGGCGCACCCCAGTCGCCAAAGTGACACCATTGCTCTTCAGTACTCTGGAGCAGTCCCTAACAGAAGACTTTCCCATTGCGATATGTCTTTTAATTTCCTGGCTGCTGGTGCCAAGAGTTTTGACTGTGGAGCCAAGCAAACTAAAGCTGTTAACAATCTTAATCTCTCCACCATCAATCCTGATGCTGCTAGTTGGTCCAGTGGTGAGAATCTTTGTATTCTTGATATTGAGCCTCAATCCATATTGAAGGCTGCATTCCTTGACCTTCTCCAGCAAGCATTTCAGGTCCTCCTCAGTTTTAGCAAGCAGGGTTGTGTCATCTGCATAACGTAGATTGTTCATGTATCTTCCACCAATTCTGATGCCACACTTCTCCTCATACAACCCAGCCTCCCAGATAATCTGTTCTGCATATAGGTTGAAAAGATATAGAGATAGGACATATCCCTGGCATATACCATTCCAAATTTTGAACTGTGCAGTGTTTTCCTTGCTCTGTTCTGACAACTCCCTCCTGGTTAAAGTATAGGTTAGAGAGAGCAAAGAAAATACAGCATATAGTCTAGACTGAACTGATGACTCTGGTTATGGTTCAAGAGAAATGGTCTTTTCTCCATTGTCTTGAGGGAGCATCTAGGTTATTTGTGTTCTCTGATGACTCAGTGCTTTGGGCAAAAACTAAACCCCATCTATAAGTTGGGGCTGTGCTGTTGGATCAATGAAGATCAATGCCCTCAGCTAACGAGACCCGATGCCCAGAATGCGGGCTGGTGTGTTTTTTTCCTAACAGAAATTCCTCCTTTTGAATAGCATCACTTTCCAAGGCTGAGTTAAAAAGGGTCAAGGAAATGACCTAGGGTGCCACCTCAGGGAGTGATCTTTATGCGTTTTTAAATAGAAGAGCTGCATGCAGGAATCGTAGCTGCCTTTGCAACTAACATGCAGAGCAACACCATGATAAGTGAAGAAAATATTGAAGTCGTGAAGGATTTAATTTCATTTGGATTCCCACTTAATACCTATGGCAGCAGCTGAAAAAAAATAAAAGAGTGGCTTTGGACAAATCTGCTGCAAAAGACCCATTTAAAATGTGTAAAAGCAAAGATGTCACTTTGTGGACTAAAGTGCACTTTATACCAGCCATGGAATTTTCAGTCACCTCATTTACAAGCTCTCTGGTGGCCTAGTGATAAGAATCTGTGCTGCAATCCCAAAGACTCTCGCAGTTCGATTCCACCAGCTGCTCTGCAGGAGAAGAATGGACAGTGTCCTCTTGTGCAGTTACTGCCTCTTAAAACCCACTGGGTCAGCTATGGGTTGGTTCCGACTTGATGATACACAACAATAATGACGACGACGATAACAACAACAGTAGCTTTGTGGTAACAAGTTACGCTGCCAACTTGAAAGCACATGGTACAAATCCATCGCCTGCTTTGAGGGAGAACGGTGAGCAGTCTCCTGCCATGCGATGTTCTGTCTCTGCAAACCTGCTGGATTGTCAGCTGTGAGTCAGTTTTAACTTCACAGTACACGGCAGCAGTCACATGCAGAAGCTGGATAGTAGATAAGGAAGACTGAAGAATAATTCTTACCTTTGAATTATGGTGTTGGCAGGTTTTGAATAATCCATAGACTTATAGGAGTGAACAGATTGATCTTGGAAGAAACTTAGAATGCTTCTTAGAAATGAGATAGTGAGACTTCATTTGGTATCTTTTGGACATACTGCTTTCTTAGATTGAGTTATGTTACCCCAAAATGCATTCATGTGATGTCGATATAATGTGCCAGTTTACTTAATGGTCCCATATGATTTGATGAACCAGGCAGTTGTGAAAGGGAACAGCGTGCAGTTTAACACTCTTAATTCCATCTGAGTCCTTGTTTGAGGTGTGGAGGATGGCCGGTAACACTTTTTTATATCCCAGGAAATAAAAGGAGAGTATAGCTAAGAAACAGAGAAGGGCAACCTCAGTATCACCAAGACAGAAGAGCTGGGGCACCACACAGCCTTCAGACCTGTGTTCATGTGCTGGGAAACTCCAAGACCCGAAGACCAGAGACAGCTTTCCTTGAGAACTGGTACCCTGACTTTACATTTCCATCCTAAACACAGAGAGAATACATTTATCTTTGTTAAAGCCGCCCACTTGTGGAAACTTTGTAATAGCTGTGTTGGGAAACTAAGGCACCCTGGTAGAGTCAAATAGAGGAAGATCTTGGATGAGATGGATTAATGCAGTGGGCTGAAGCATAGCAATGGTTGTGCACACAGGGCATTCGGTTCTGGTGTACATAGGGTTGCTAGAGTTGTAACCAACTTGATGGCCTTTAACAACAACAACAACGACAGTAGCTGCCATTGCATCAGCCTCTGACCCACAATGATGCCAGGCACAGCAGAGCAAAATATTACCTGGTCTTGTGCCATACCCTTGGTCGTTTGTGATTAGACCAAAAGGTTTTCGTTGGCTCATTTTCAGAAGGAAATCTCCAGACCTTTGTCTTGGCCTTCTTTGCTCCAAAACCTCTGCTGAAACACACAGTGCATGGGGCACTTCGGCCAGGAATTGATCCTGAATTTTCCATGTGGGAGATGAGAATTACTCCATTGAATGACCATTGTGCACATGCTTAATATTGTCAGAGTTTACATTTTTTCTTGATATTCCGGAAAGCTTAGCCTTTTGGGCAAAATCTTCTTCTTATTATTAAAACACAATAAGGGCCAAAAAAACACATCTTGGCTCTTGGCTGCCAGTTTGCAATCCTTGGATTAGAAATTGTTGTTTTGCCCGTGGGTTTCTTAATAAGGGCACGGCTCACTTCCTTGTCTTCCTGTTTTCACCAGGCTTACTTGAAAGCAGCACCCGGCTCAAGCCTCACGAAGCCCAGAACTACAGGAAGAAGGCCTTGTGGGTGTCCTGGATCTCCATCATCATCACGCTGGCCCTGGCCGTGGCTGCCTTCAGTGAGTATCAGGGAACTCGCCGCTCAGGACATGCTGACGCTGCCTGCTTCATCCTCCTCCTAACTCCTGTGGGATGCTCTTGTGCTTTAGTGGACTGTTATTGACGACTACATTTTTGTAGATGGCCGAGCAGTCATAAATTAGTCAAATGACTTGTCTCCACTGCAGAGGGAAGGGGTGGTGAAGGAGAAGAAATGGCGAGCTGTGCCGATAGCTTTGCCTCTTGTCTGTATGGAGTTCGTGGAAGTCGATGCAGGCTGACAGCCGAATGGTGAAATTATTCTCTTGGTGGAAAACCTTCAGCTCGGGCTGACGTGTGACAAATACATGTTTTTGAGATTTATGTGTTGAGCCTAATGTAACCAGATGAGTAAAATATTGTAGTGATTCTCTCTACCCCTGCATGTCCATGTGAGATTTGGAAGAAAAACATGATTAAAATGTAATGAAAAACAAACAGTAGAGTCCTCTTTCAAGTTTATAGTGGCCCTGGATACAGAAATAGTCATGATGATAAAACAAAGCTAAACAAAACAAGAATATCGAGGTGTTTGTACTCAGTCTTCTTTGGGGCTGAGGAAGTGCCATGTTGTGCAGTGTTTCTCAGCTAAAATTTTGCAATCTATAGATATATGCACGAGGAATTTATTTTTATTAGTCAGACAATGAGTCACATGTCTCAGCTATGACATTCTGTATAGCTCAACCTGGAAACCATGATTTTTTTTGTGCTTGGTATGTGCTTTGTAGATTTTGGAATTAATATTTTATCTTATCAGAAAGTTCTGTGTTCTGGCAAGTGTCACACCCTGTGCCTTATGAGACAGCATGCAGTAGGGAAGAGGAGAAGCTGGGGTCCCTGGGAAGAAGGTGTGCATTGTTTAAAATTCTGTTCTGCACCACTGACCCTGCCGCAGGACTTGGGGTTGGCTCCCAAGAGAGAGTATTAGAAGTTGACTAAATGCTCCCTGTGAAATTCAGCATATATTATTCAAAGCAATTTATATAGAAACCCTGTACCATAGCTTGGTTCTGGAAGAGCCAGGCATTGAGAGGCAGAGACAGATTCATTTCAGGGTATAACCATTTACCAGTGAGCCAGGATCTAATCAAGGGAACTCTGATTCTTGAAAGTAACAGCGTCTCCCCTCTCCTCTTTTAAATCTTGAAACAAGACTAACAAGCCACTGCTGTCCCCTGAGGATTATTTGGTTGTGGTGGCTGGTGGTGGACTTTGTATCAGACACTGTAATTTACATATGTGAGGAAAGAGGAGTCTAATGGAGGGAAAGAGGTGCTGTACAAACAGAACAATAGTCATTCTTACACACGCGTGTGTCTAATAAGGCTGTTATATGTGCGTGCCTTTGTGAGGACCTGGGCATAATCATTACATGTGATGTCCTTTATCCTCATAAGAGGAAAAAAATTAAAAAAGCAATTTTGATTTCATATATTATGACTATCACTTGAGCAATCTTGAAAATGTTCCATTTCCTTCATGGGAAAATACTGTTGTCTAATTCATATAAAACAAGAATGTTACCTTGTGAGAAAGTTTCTGATTTCTTTAAATTATTATTTTACCCTATACCTTGGGACATGTTGCAAGGAGGGACTAGTCCTTGGAGAGGGACAACATGCTTGGCAGGGTGGAGGGACAGCGCAAGAGAGGAAGACCCTGGATGAGATGTGACAGGGGTAATGGTGGGGGATGTCAGTGTGTCAGAGACAATACGATTGGCACAGGATAGAGCAAGATTTAGGGCTCTTGTGCATAGGATCGCTATGAGTCGCAGGCACATAACAACATAACAACCACCACCACAACCCTTTATTGTGTTTAATTTAAGTTGCAGAATGTCTTGTTTCTAAAATGCTGACTTTGGCTTATAATACAGTCATCTGTTGTAATCTATTAAAACCTCTCTAATTCATTGCTGCTGAGTTACAGCGGCTCTTAGCTGACCATCCCCTCTCCCAGTAGGTTTTCAGAGGCTGTAAATGGTGCGGGAGGAGATTGCCCGTGTTCCTTCCCCAGAACACTGATGGATTTGACCCACCTACCTTTGGTTTGACCTTTTAACTCCTTACTTTATAGGTCACTAGAGCTGTTGTATATTTAATTGCTTCCCAAGTTTCTTGTCTTTGGATTGGTTAAAACCCCAAAATATAAGACATTTTCCCTGCTTAAACTATAGAGTAATTTTGTTGTATATGTTTCATATTTTAAACAATAAGGTAGTCTTTGATTATGTTGGTGGAGTTGTTTTATTTACCCTTCAGTTTCCTAAATATACTTGGAATATGAAATATTTAAAATCCTAAAGCATCATGTATGAATAGTTTACACACTTTCAGCCATTCTTTTTCAGAATTTTGAATGGAAATGAAAGCAATAGAAATGAAACAATATAAGCAGATCTTTCATTTTATTTTTAAATTGATGTGTTGAGAAAATATGTGTCAAAAGTGATGATAAACATATTTTTAAAGTGTGACAAGGAGCTCTAGTCTTATTCCCAAAGCAGGAAGGTTATGAAAAGACAATGTGAGAGTTGAGCTTCACAAATGAGTGTGTTAGAGCATTATGGGGGAATTATTTGGTACGGCAGAGATGTTTTTGTGGTAGTGTGTGTGTGTGTGTGTGTGTGTATGCAGGCGGATGATAATCACGGTGAAGAGCAGATAATTGCATTTGTGATCATGTCTTCTTTCCACTTCTGGATGGTAAATTCTCTTGAGCAGGAAAAATATTGCATCTTTGCAGAGAATCAGTACTCAAGATTGTTAAGTGGATGAGCAGAGGCCATTTTATTTACGGCTAAATGGAGGACTAGTTCATGGAAAATAATAACTTGTGCCTCATGGTGAGTTGAGATACCAGGTTTAGCTAAGTCTCTCTCTTTTTTAGCAATTTAAGGCTTTATCAAAGAAGTGCATCTTTGTGGTTATTCTTTTGTTGAGGACACTGTCTTGGAGTTGCATCTGCTGATGTGAGTGGGAACTCCTTTCTTCATCTCTCAGTTACCATTTTGCACTGAATCCTAGTACTGGTTTTTAGCTCAGCACTATCTGAGGAAATGCTGTAATGTCTTTTGGTTTTGGAAATGGGGTGATGAATATGGGTGTATTGGGGGGGGACACATCTTTTCTTCATCAACTGGAGAACATAATATGTTTTCATAGTATGTATATTGTACATGTTTCCCTTTATATATTGTAAATATCCAGATATTCAGATTTGTAGTACTCCAAAAATACCCACTGATAAAACCCACTTAGTTTTACCAAGAATTGCTGAGTTACTTGGGATTAACGAGAGCTCTGGTGGCCAATGGTAAGGAGCTTCACTGTCAACCCAAAGGCATGGAGTTTGAATCCACCTGCTGTTCTGCAAAAGCAATCTCCTCTCATGTGATTTACTGCCTCTGAAAACCTGCTGGAGGGTCAGCTGTGAGTCTGTTCTGACTTGACGGCACCTAACAACAACAGAGCTCTGGTGGCTTAGTGCTAAGAAGCTGTGCTGCAATCCCAAAGACATGAGGTTTGGATCCAATAGCTGCTCCGCAGGAGAAGGATGGGCAGTCTCTTGCGATTTACTGTCTCTGAAAACTTGCTGGACGGGTCAACTATGGGTCAGTTCCGATTTAACAGCACACAACAACAACAATATGATTAACATTCGTGTATCTGTATGGTATAGTTGGGGAATTTAGGTCATCTGTCATAGTTTGTGACTTGAATTCGTATAGATCAACTCAGTGACTCAACTAATTCCCATAAAATCAAAACGGATTCATAGCTGTTTCTCCAGTGGTTTTTCATTGGCTGTAAATTGAACAGGAGATTGTCTGACTTTCTCCCCAGGAACAACTGGTGGATTTGAACCACCTGCCTTTGGGTTGACAGCACAACTACTTACCCAGTAGGCCACTAAGACTCCTTGTTTAAAAAGGACAGGATTTTTTTCCGTAATCTTGGTAATGTAATGATTTCCGATCTGTTCAAATGCTGACATAAAACCAGATGGTGACGCATCTTGAACATTTCAGAGAGCTCTAGTTTGATTTTAAAATTGCTTCTGTTTATAATCGGTAGGAAAATGACAATCTTGTTAGGACCAAAAATCCCGCTCCTCACCAAAGTCTGTTTTAATAATGAAGCTGGAACAAAATCACAAGTTCTGTCTCGACACTCAAGGTTTTGACATTGATGTGTTTGTTAGCATGATTTCGGGAAATGCGTTCTGACTCTGCTTTTGAGGTTTGAATGAGTGCAAGTTAATTTTTAGGCACTCAGTACATGTTCTGTAGGAAATGAAGTTAAATTTGAATCACTCTCATGGGAAAACCTTTCCTGAGATACACAGTTCCTTTTTTTTTAAGTACTCTAAACCCGCGTCTTTTCAGAAAAAGGTTTTTCAAAGATTTCGTGAATTGGTAGATTTAAGAATTAGAAAAATATCTGGGAGGAATGGTTTTGTTTTTATGTTGTTTTTGTTGTTACATGCCTACAAGCAAAGTATGATACACAGTGATCCAATGAGCAACAGATTTGAACCCTGCCCTATACTCTGCTGTTTTCATCGTCTCTGACATGTTCGAGCCCATTGCTGCGGACGAGGATCTTCCTTTTTTCTTTTGTTCTCATGTGGGTTTTTCCCCCCAGTCTTTTCTCTTTTGTTCTCCTTATTTTGAGACTTTCCTTTCTTTTGTTGACCTTTCCAAGCATCATGTTTGAAAGCAAGATGGCCCTACCTGTAAAAAGAAACAGTCCGAAATTGGCTTTTTATAGGTAAGGGTTTTAAAAGGAATTATTTTATTTTGATGTAAAGTTTTGACCCAAAAAACTGATAGAAAATGTCTTTATCATTTTTGTTTTTAAATTAAAGGCTGTTAAGGGGGTGGGGAAATGACACAAAATGAAGTTATTTGACTCTTCCATAAATCCATCAAAGCTTGTCTGGCAACTTTCTTTCAATCAACGCATTGTGAGTT